AACGAATTCTCGCCTGTTCGTGGATGATCAAATTGTGTGTGCATATGTTTGTTGCATTTGTCTGTTGCATAGCATAACCAAACAACAGAAAGAAAAATCACAAAAAATATTTTTGCAATAAACACCCTTATCTCGGACAGTCTGCCTTTTAGCTAGCCTGGTTTCAGGTTCTTTGTAAGCTAAGTAGCCACGCAGTTCCGACAGAAGAGATAAGGGACGCTAAATATTCTTTCGCATAAAGCCACATTTTATCTTGGACAGTCTGCCTTTTAGCTAGCCTGGTTTCAGGTTCTTTGTAAGCTAAGTAGTCACGCAGTTCCAACAGAAGAGATAAAAGACTATAAAATAAAAAAATAAACATCAAATAAAATAAATATCAAATAAGATCCGATTCCAAAACAATAAATGGGACCTGATTCATAAAACATCCCCAAATCATTCATATAGGTAGTTTATTTTCGAAAAAATACGTAAATACCATACAAAACATGATAAACAAAAATAAACACTCACATTCATTCAAATAAGCATCATTTTTCATAAAACATGCATTTTGGTTTTAGAAAATGGAGGGGACTAGTAGACAATTGAAGAAGGTGGATATTCCCCGATATCATACTGAGAAGTTGGAACGACTTTGCGCGGTAATGCCACCAGAGGTCCGCGCCGACTTTGAAAAATCCTATGGACGGATTCTCGACCTATTGAAGATCTGTGTCGATCAAGTGTTCCTCAGGGTATTGATTCACTTTTGGAACTCCAGTCTGCGCTGCTTTGAATTTCCGCAGTTCGATATGGTGCCTACTGTCGCCGCCATCAAAACGAGGCGGTCGGAGCGACGCGATGGTTTTTTCGACCCTCTTTGATTTTTGCGTTTTTTATGGGTGGGTACAACGTCCTTAGATTGTCCGATAACCGGGCTAACCTAGAGACGAGGTTTTCGAAAAGTGTTCTTGGGTTGTCCGATGACCGGGCTAACCCAAGAACGGGTTTTGAAGGGTTCGTGGAGTCGCCACCGATGTTTTTACCGGAAACATCGGAAAAGGCATTGGTTTTCGAAAACCAACTTTGGTCATTAGAACCAGAGTTGGGTAAGGGAGTTAGTTACGTGTAAAGGAAGTATTAGTTCCTTTACGACGCCCCTTTCGGGTTCCCTATGATAGGCTGGCTACTTTGGATAAATAATTAAACTGGAAAATTGCGCTTTTACCCTTTTATTATGCGGTATTTAAAGATTATGACTACATGGCCCTAGCGTCTATTGCATAATTTTAAATGAAAGCGGTAAAATTAGAAAGAGAGAGGATGCACCTCCAAAGCAAGCTTTTTATATTTCTCTTTAAAGAGTGGGTGCTTTTTGGCAACCCTTCACTCTACAACTCTCAGAAACTCCGTAAATGCCTCGGAGGGATTCTAAAGAAGATTTAGAACGCTCAATCTATGCCTAGAGACACTCAGAAACTCCGGAAATGCTTCGGAGGGATTCTAGAGAGAGAATATCTAGAGAGAAGGAGGAGCTACTGTGCTTGGTGTGTAAATGAGGGGAGGGAGCCCCTATTTATAGGTTTTCGCGCCTGACAGTGGCGAGACCGCCGATCTTGTCTGACAGGGTCGAGACCGCCGTCTGGACAATCCAGACCGCCGTCTCGACCATGCAGGGGGTCGAGACCGCCGTCTGGAAAACCCAGACCGCCGTCTCGACCTTTGCAGTGGCGAGACCGCCGTCTGGACAAGCGAAACGGCGGTCTCGTCCCTGGCGTGAGGCGAGACGGCGGTCTGGTCTTCCCAGACGGCAGTCTCGTCCCTTCAGGGCGAGAAACCTTATTTTTCGGGCCAAAAAACCCTCCTATCTTAGTACAGGGGCCTAATAGTCTCTCCTAGTGGCTTGTTAGGCTTTGACCGTCTTCAAATAGGAAGCCTTCTGGCTTTATTTTGAGGCCGGCAAGACTTGGGGTCTATAGCTGCCCCCCCTTTACCCGACTAGTCGACTGTTGGCCTTTTGTGCCGAGGTGATCGACTGGAGGGTAAAGGAGTTGACCCTCTTGCCCGGTTACCCTTCAGATACTCCGTCTTTGCGGCGGATGATCCTCTGGGGAGATGTTGTATTGTGCGCTTCTAGGATGCTCCTTTGATGCGGTAGCTGATCCCTTCGGCTGATGAGTACGAACCCCCATCTGGTTTGACGAGTACGAACCGCCGCCCAGTAAGCCCCCTTTTGTAAGGCCTGATGAGTTTACACCCCCATCTGGTGTTTGACGAGTACGAACCCCCGCCCGGTAAGCCCCCTTTTGTAAGGCTTGATGAGTTTACACCCCCATCTGGTGTTAAGCCTCCGGATGCTCCATCTTGCGGTAGCTGATCCTTTGGTTGACGAGTACGAACCCTCGTCTGGTTTGGTGCCTCTGGATGCCCCTTCTTGCGGTGGCCGATCCTTTGGCAATGGTGGCGGCTTGCTGATTTCGACCATGCGCCGATTCAGCGGGAGTGATGTTAGTAGTTGGTTGGTGGATATGTTTATGCCGGAGTTTGCTCTTGGGGTCTTTGTTGTTTGTCCATCCAGCTTTGTTGGTTGTTGGGGATTCTTTGTTTTTTGGTGGTAGTTATCCGACTCTTGCTGGTTGGTCGGGTTATCTCTTCTTTGTGTTCGACTCTTGGTAGTCGATTTTTATTGGTTGAGGTGATGGCTTAATCTTGCCTTTTTCTCGCGGTTTTATCTTTTTTCTCGCGATTTTCGGATTTTGGCTTTTTGTTGGGCGTGTGCCTTTTTTCCTTTTTAAGCTTTGTTATGCTGGCTTTTGGAGAGGATGGCAAAAGGTCGGCGAAGTCGTACCGAGATACCCCTTTTTTATTGTTCTTAAGAATGCAGGTATGAATGCTTTTTGATCTTTTATTTGTTTGTTTTGCTTTTTGACAAAGTCATTTTTGTGCAACTACTTGTGTGTGAATGCTGTTGATGCAAATTTATTTTAGTTGAGGACATTTTAGAAAGTGACCGGTACTTTCCTTCTTTTTGTTCTCTCGTGATTATTCTTTTTGCACTTTTTGTTCTAACCCTATCTTTTGCCTAGACCGCCCTTTGCGGGTTTTTGATCTAGCGGGTTTTGATGGACTCTCTTTTTTCCTTTTTATAAAAGCCTTATCTTTTGCCTAGACCGCCCTTTGCAGGTTTTTGATCTAGCAGGCTACCCTGTACTTTTTACTTGGGACGACCCTGGTTGGTGATGTTCGTCTTTGTCTTTATGCTTTCTCGAATTGCTTGTTTTATGCATGCTCATGTTTCGTTAATACAGAGACATTTACACAAGTAGGTAAAGAAAAGAGAAAGACAATTTTATTGATATAACCAGATGGTTTATTTTTACATGGGGGTTTATAATAGAATTTGTAAGCATGGATGGCCAAGGTTGGCTAAAGCTGTATGAGGGTGCCACGGTCATGTCCGTGATTTTTGTTTCCCCGTTTTTCCTAGTCCCTTCGGTTGAGATGCTCGAATCCGGAGTGAAGACTATGCGAAGTCTGCTTGCTTGTTGCGAAGGCATTACCTTAGTCGCCTTTGCGGTTTTCGGCTAAGGTAATCATTGCTCGGTTTTTCTCTTCTTTTCTTTCTTTTTCTTTTTTTTTTTTTTTTTTTGGAACCTCTAGTTTTTTGCCTAGGACGTGTCCTAGCGAGGAATATAGACCCTATCTTTTGCCCGGGACGCTCTTTGCGAGTTTTCATCTGACGGGTCATGAGCAATGTCTTTAGGCGTAATATTTTTTCACCGCATCCGAGTTGACAGGGGTATCGGAGCTCTTCTCCATCCATATTGGTGAGGATAAGGGCTCCTCCCGAGAAGGCTCGCTTGACCACAAAGGGTCCTTCGTAGTTTGCTTGCCCATTTCCCGACCTTGTCTTTCCGGGCTGGAAGCAGTTTCTTCACTACTAGATCTCCTTCTTGGAAGGTGCGGGGATTGACCTTCTTGTCGTAGGCTTTCTTGATTTTCTTCCGATAAGCTTGCCCTCGACATATGGCGTCCAACCGCTTTTCTTCGATTAGGTTCAACCGATCATACGGCTTTGGACCCATTCTGCGCTTC